TGTGATAAGGTCCAATTTTAAAAGGATTTTGTACAAACGTTTGGAAAGGGTTCTCAGTAGCTACCAGTCAGGATGGCTATATATTCCTTTCAGTACCAGAAGCAGTATGCCACACTATATAAAGTTGTGGGGAAACATGAGCAAAGAAGGAACGGATACAAATACATCCATATCTTGCTCGTGGGCTTCCCCTAAACATCTGTTTAGTAACTCTGAGAATACTACATTCATATGTGTGGAACCACCTACAGGAGCAGAAAATTGAGTCACAACCCTGCATTTTGTCCCATCTGGGCTCCTTGACTTGCTGTCTTGAGAAAACTCCTATGTAGAATGATTTCTTCTTAGTGGAACATTTTTGCTGATCTGAGGGTTAATGCTCAAAAGTTAGGTGTTGGAACAAAACATAAATGGCAGTGCTCAAGTCAATAGTGAAGATGGTATCTTTTCCCAATCAGGTGTTTCTGGAAACCATTTATATTGCACTAAGGTTATATCTTCTGAAAGATCCTTGGTGATACAATCTTCCCACTTCTTTGCTATGGATGCCTTCATTTTTGATCTTCAGGACATCCCTAGGGGTTGGATCATTTTTTGTCCAAATTTATCAAAAGGAAATGAAGCAAGGCAACAGGGAAGACCAAAGACAACTTCTTGGAAACAAAGGAGAACCCAAGATTTACTAGGCTTTACTTTCACCTAGAACAAAGTTTGTGTCTTCAGTTTATTGACAAGCCTATGTTCTGTAATGAGAGCCAGTGTTCTGTAACGGTTAGCATGTTGGACTGCGGCTTCAGAGAACCAGGTTCAAAACCTTGATGAGTCATGAAAGTCACAGGATGATGTTGCGCTAGTCACTATATCTTGTCCTGGTCAAAACCATAAGGTTGTGGTGAGAGTAGTGGGAAAGAGAAGAACTACAAATGCTGCCTAGACCAGAGAACACACTCAAGAAATGTAACTGTAATGAATAATAAATAAATAAATAAATAGTTCTAGCTTAAGGTTATAAATTCACACACACCTCACAATCCTGTCAAGACCATACATACTTACACATAACTCAAGGTTAGTCTTATTTTGAATAGAGTACAAATAGAGTTGCCAGTCATCATGGCCTGGACTCTCATCTTCAGTTCTCAAGGCAAGGGTGAGGCATCTTGGGGAAATCACTTCCTTGAAAAATATGTATTTCTTCATTTGTTAGACTTTGATAACACCTGCATAAATAATCCAATTTGACATCACTTTAATTGTCATGGCTCAATGCTATGGAATCCTGGGAATGGTAGTTTGTTGTGGTACCACAGCACTCTGACAGAGAAGGTTAAATTTCTCACAAAGCTATAATTCCCAGAATTCCATAGCATTGAGCCATGGCAGTTAAAGTGCTGTCGAATTGGATTATTTCTGCAGCGTGGATGCAGATTTAGGGTCATTGCAGACCGGCCCAAAGGGCTGGCCTGGGGGTAGAGTTTGGGTGGGGCAGCCATATGCCGGCCACCCTAATCCCACCCCGATGCCGTCCTGACGCCGCATGCCATTACACATGGTGTGCAGCATCAGGATGCCCTTTCAGTGCAGTGTGCAGACACGCTGCACTGAAAAGGCATGGAAGAGCTGCAGCGCAAGCTCTTAGCGCGGCCTTTTGCCATTCCTAAAAGGAGCGGCAAAAGGAAGGATCGGGGGCGTGGTGTGGGGATGCCATGGCCCTAATCCACCATCCCCTGGGACGGCTCTCTGCTGCCCCAAACAGGCCATGTCCATCAGTCCTTGGGGTTTTTTTAGTTTTTTTATTTGAATGACATACTCTGAACAATTGTGTTTAATTCTTAATATATCATGCTTAGAGACATCACTAGAAGCAGTAGCTTGCAGTATAAAAAGGGGTTAATGGTCAGAGTTTAGCTCTGAAATCTCAGAGCCCAGGATACTGCCCATCTGGCAACCAAGGGATTTAATTTTTCACTAAGAGGCATTGCAGACCGGCATAAAGGGCCAGCCTGGGGGTGGAGTTGGGACAAGGCAGCTGCACGCCGGCCTCCCCAACCACAGGCCAACACCATCCTGATGCCGCATGCCCATACGCATAGTACGCAGTGACAGGAAATCCTCCCAGCAGTAAACATGCTGTGCCGAAAGGGAGCAGAAGAACTGCAGTGCCAGCTCTTAGGGTGGCCTTTTGCCACCTCTAAAAGGAGTGGCATTTTGCTGCTCTTTTATGGGCGACAAAATGGAGGATTGGGACCATGACATGAGGTTGCCGTGACCCCGATCAGCAGCTAGCAGAGGCAGCCCAGAGCTGCCCATCTGCATAGGCTCTAAGGGGGTTGCAGACTGCCATAAATAGTGCAAATTGAGTCCACTTTTAGGGTTAGGGTTAGTGCTAGGGAATCATGGGAACTGATTTTTTTTTCTGAGACATTGAGCCTTCTCTGTCAGAGAGCTCTGGTGCCACAATAAAATACAGTTCCCATGATTCCCTAACCCTAACCCTAATCCTAACCCTAACCCTAACCCTAAAAGTGGACTTAATTTGCACTATTTATGGCAATCTACAACCCCCCCTAAGTTTCTCCTGGAAGATAGCAATGAATAATTTAAGCTATTTTCTTACCATTGTGAGAAAATCTTCAAAAGCCTGCAGTTTTTGAAGGTTATTTGCAATTCATGACTTATTCTACGCAAAATGCACACTTCCTGTTTGATTTTGTTTTTTAATTCCCCTCCCCCCCAAAGAAAACAGAATTTTCTCTCCAGGAAACAAGATTTCTACATGGAAAATTATATTTCAATTAAGAAATATTCATTCTTATGTAGAAAGTGCACTTTACTGGGCAGGAAATACTTTCTGCACAGAACATGTTATTTTCTATGCAAATCAACCAAGTGCAAATTTGATGC